AGTGTGGCATCTAGACATACGTGTCACCCTTACAGTCAGTGTGGCACCTTGATGTACGTGACACACTTACAGCCAGTGTGGCACCTAGACGTACATGACACCCTTACAGTCAGTGTAGCAGGGTGTTTCAACTGAAGTTTAAGTTCATGAAGATTCTATGTCCACTTCTTTGAGTTTCTGAGCGTCCCAATACACGAAAAATGGCACATTCATCATGCGATGGTGTCATCCAACAGATGACATCCTTACCTTGTCAGTGTAGCCAGACATGGAGTCATCCCACAGATGACATCCTTACCTTGTCAGTGTAGCAGGGCATCGGCTATCCCACAGATGACATCCTTACCTTGTCAGTGTAGCAGGACATGGAGTCATCCCACAGATAACATCCTCACCTTGTCAGTGTAAGCAGTGCATGGGCTAGCCCACAGATGACATCCTGACCTTGTCAGTGTAGCAGGGTGTGGAGTCATCCCACAGATGACATCCTGACCTTGTCAGTGTAGCAGGGCGTGGAGTCATCCCACAGATGACATCCTTACCTTGTCAGTGTAGCAGGGTGGAGTCATCCCACAGATGACATCCTTACCTTGTCAGTGTAGCAGGGCATGGAGTCATCCCACAGATGACATCCTTACCTTGTCAGTGTAGCAGGGTGTGGAGTCATCCCACAGATGACATCCTTACCTTGTCAGTGTAGCAGGGTGTGGAGTCATCCCATAGATGACATTCTTACCTTTTCAGTGTAACAGGGCGTGGAGTCATCCCACAGATGACATCCTTACCTTGTCAGTGTAGCAGGGCGTGGAGTCATCCCACAGATGACATCCTTATCTTGTCAGTGTAGCAGGGTATGGAGTCATCCCACAGATGACATCCTTACCTTGTCAGTGTAGCAGGGCGTGGAGTCATCCCACAGATGACATCCTTACCTTGTCAGTGTAGCTGGGTGTGGGCATGGAGTCAGTGTAGGAGGGCCACCCCACAGATGACATCCTTACCTTGTCAGTGTAGCAGGGCATGGAGTCATCCCACAGATGACATCCTTATCTTGTCAGTGTAGCAGGGCGTGGAGTCATCCCACAGATGACATCCTTTCCTTGTCAGTTTAGCAGGGCGTGGAGTCATCCCACAGATGACATCCTTAGATGGTCAGTGTAGCAGGGTGTGGAATTAACCTCATTAGTGTAGTGGGCCGAGTTGGGATAGGTAGGTTCAAATCCACAGCACTTGGAAATGTCACGGCGAAGCAATAAGCACATAATTGACTAGGAAGTGAGTTGCAAAATGTACACATCAATAGCTCGATTTCAAATATAATTCTTAATCCCTGAAAGTATAGGAGGATGGGTGACGTAAAGTTTTGCATGCAACAATGCCACTTTACCTGATTTCTCACCTGAGTAACAGAACTAAGCAATAACACTCAATTTATTTTGCGATCTTATTTCTACCACGAGATCGTTAGCGCTGACAGAGCGAGCTGAAAGAGCACTTACCTCGGAGTAAGTGGGTAAGGTAGTTAAGTTTTATTCCCACCACGCCTCCTACCTCGGAAAGTCCCCATGGTCCCTAGTATGGTGATCTACCTTCAGTTATTGGCGATTTATAGCCCATTTTTATACTGTATTGTTTTTCCCCTATAGTTAAAACGTTTTAGATTTAATTACTAGTTTTACATACATATTCTGTGATATTCTAGTTGTTTTACTGTCCTTCGTCGGCAGGTTTTTTATAATATACATATATTTCATTTCAATATCAAATGTTCTCGTCACGATATGGCTGAAATATTGCCGATGTGACGTTAAATATTAACTCATTCACACACTCAATCCTACCTCGGAATGCAGGCTCTTTGCAATATACGTTATTATCACCTTTAGGCTGTAGGGTTCGTCAGCTACAATAACAAGGCTATTATATATAAAACTGGTATCTCAGCATTAAAAGTTTATAAATGAATTCTTTAAAAAGTAGTTTCTTTAACACAAATAATTAACTGAGATCATGTGGTGTCGATAAGTCAATATGGCGCAAACTTTAGAATATTCATCCCATTTGATAGTAAACAATGAACTGAAGAAATTTCATAATTTCAGAAATTTCATAGTTTCATAAACTATTGGTCCACATCCACAGTAAAAGTAAATATAGCAATGTTTCAAACCCATTTCTTGTGTCGTCTACTCTAACTGTTTGAGAAACTGGCTCTACTGTAGACAAACTGTTTTAACTGGCTCTACTGTAGGAGAACTGTTTTAACTGGCTCTACTGTGGGAAAACTGTTTTAACTGGCTCTACTGTAGACAAACTGTTTTAACTGGCTCTACTGTAGACAAACTGTTTTAACTGGCTCTACTGTAGACAAACTGTTTTAACTGGCTCTACTGTAGGAGAACTGTTTTAACTGGCTCTACTGTAGGAAACTGTTTTAACTGGCTCTACTGTAGGAGAACTGTTTTAACTGGCTCTACTGTAGACAAACTGTTTTAACTGGCTCTACTGTAGGAAACTGTTTTAACTGGCTCTACTGTAGGACAAACTGTTTTAACTGGCTCTACTGTAGACAAACTGTTTTAACTGGCTCTACTGTAGACAAACTGTTTTAACTGGCTCTACTGTAGGAGAACTGTTTTTAACTGGCTCTACTGTAGGACAAACTGTTTTAACTGGCTCTACTGTAGGACAAACTGTTTTAACTGGCTCTACTGTAGACAAACTGTTTTAACTGGCTCTACTGTAGGACAAACTGTTTTAACTGGCTCTACTGTAGACAAAGAACTGTTTTAACTAACTGGCTCTACTGTAGGAGAACTGTTTTAACTGGCTCTACTGTAGACAAACTGTTTTAACTGGCTCTACTGTAGGAGAACTGTTTTAACTGGCTCTACTGTAGACAAACTGTTTTAACTGGCTCTACTGTGGGACAAACTGTTTTTAACTGGCTCTACTGTAGACAAACTGTTTTAACTGGCTCTACTGTAGGAGAACTGTTTTAACTGGCTCTACTGTAGGAGAACTGTTTTAACTGGCTCTACTGTAGGAGAACTGTTTTAACTGGCTCTACTGTAGGAGAACTGTTTTAACTGGCTCTACTGTAGGAGAACTGTTTTAACTGGCTCTACTGTAGGAGAACTGTTTTAACTGGCTCTACTGTAGGAAAACTGTTTTAACTGGCTCTACTGTAGGAGAACTGTTTTAACTGGCTCTACTGTAGGAGAACTGTTTTAACTGGCTCTACTGTAGGAGAACTGTTTTAACTGGCTCTACTGTAGGAGAACTGTTTTAACTGGCTCTACTGTAGGAGAACTGTTTTAACTGGCTCTACTGTAGGAGAACTGTTTTAACTGGCTCTACTGTAGGAGAACTGTTTTAACTGGCTCTACTGTAGGAAAACTGTTTTAACTGGCTCTACTGTAGGAAAACTGTTTTAACTGGCTCTACTGTAGGAGAACTGTTTTAACTGGCTCTACTGTAGGAGAACTGTTTTAACTGGCTCTACTGTAGGAAAACTGTTTTAACTGGCTCTACTGTAGGAGAACTGTTTTAACTGGCTCTACTGTAGGAGAACTGTTTTAACTGGCTCTACTGTAGGAAAACTGTTTTAACTGGCTCTACTGTAGGAGAACTGTTTTAACTGTTGTAACTGGCTCTACTGTAGGAGAACTGTTTTAACTGGCTCTACTGTAGACAAACTGTTTTAACTGGCTCTACTGTAGGAGAACTGTTTTAACTGGCTCTACTGTAGGAGAACTGTTTTAACTGGCTCTACTGTAACTGAACTGCTTTTAACTGGCTCTACTCTACTGTAGACAAACTGTTTTAACTGGCTCTACTGTAGGAGAACTTTTTTTAACTGGCTCTACTGTAGGAGAACTGTTTTAACTGGCTCTACTGTAGGAGAACTGTTTTAACTGGCTCTACTGTAGGAAAACTGTTTTAACTGGCTCTACTGTAGGAGAACTGTTTTAACTGGCTCTACTGTAGGAGAACTGTTTTAACTGGCTCTACTGTAGGAGAACTGTTTTAACTGGCTCTACTGTAGGAGAACTGTTTTAACTGGCTCTACTGTAGGAGAACTGTTTTAACTGGCTCTACTGTAGGAAAACTGTTTTAACTGGCTCTACTGTAGGAGAACTGTTTTAACTGGCTCTACTGTAGGAGAACTGTTTTAACTGGCTCTACTGTAGGAGCACAAACTGTTTTAACTGGCTCTACTGTAGGAGAACTGTTTTAACTGGCTCTACTGTAGGAGAACTGTTTTAACTGGCTCTACTGTAGGAGAACTGTTTTAACTGGCTCTACTGTAGGAGAACTGTTTTAACTGGCTCTACTGTAGGAGAACTGTTTTAACTGGCTCTACTGTAGGAGAACTGTTTTAACTGGCTCTACTGTAGGAGAACTGTTGTAACTAAATCTACTGTAGGAAAACTGTACTGTAGGTAAAGTAGCATAGCATCACTTGACATGATGGCTCTGAATTTTTAATTACTTACCTTTCTGATTTTCAAATATCTGACCACAAAAGCATTGTTGACATTATGCTAACTATTCATCAAAAAGCAAGAAGGTATGTTTTGACCTACACAGTATTGGGGGCATGTACATTCAGGAGTTACGTGTATGACGATCAGTTGTCGAAAATATTTTCATTAAATAACTATGAAACGTTTCATATATTTGTTCTTCTGTTTTTGCAGTTCATCTGTGTTTGACGAACCGTCTGGCAAGTCTGATGTTGCTCTAGTTGTGGAAGGCAGACGTCTTCACGTCAACAGAGGGTGCTTGCTACAGCGTCAGATGTTTTTGACAAGATGCTTAATGGGAATTTTAAAGAAAACAGGAACGTGAAGTCCCTCTCCCGGAAAAAGGTATGCTGACATTGTGGACATGCTTCTGTGTATTTACCCATCAGAACTACGGCCTGTCACCGAGGCAACGGTGGACAAGATGCTGGAACTAGCTGACGAGTACCAGATTGAAAGTCTAAAGCGGAGGTGTGAAGAGCTTTTGCTCACGGTCTGTAGAAAGGACGAACCACCGAAAGAAGGTGTTATACATGCTTTATATCTGGCTGATAAGTACAGCCTGCCTTACCTCCTGGAAATAGCTATACAAATTGTGAAAAATATCGGTTTAGACGTAAAACTGGGAGGGGATAAACTGTGGGCTGGTGGAGGAACAAGACTTCGTGAACCTTGGGTATGAAACTAAGCTAAAACTTATGGCGGAAATGATTGTCTATTTAGAGATAAATCCGCGTTGCTAAAGTTTTTGAGTAGATCTGTATATCGATGCATCAGTATACAAATTCGGTTTCCGGAACCGGACGGTAAGTAGCTGTCACCAATCAGTAAAATAAACAGTAAATTGCTTCACAGTCCGGACGCTGTAAGTCGTGTTCACGAACCGTAACAACACCTCCCGGCGATGTTTACTTAATTAACTGGCCAACTGGGTTGTTGTTTTAATAAGACATTAAAAGCTCCCGACTGAAGATGCTGTACATTTACACTTTGATTGACACCACAATACAAAGGCGTGGATGATAAGTGAGCTGTTTTGTGATTAGTTAATGTACTTTGTCAGACAGATGCGGTCACGTGGACTTTAAGTGATTTTGTTTTTACGACAACGCTGTGACGCAACAAGTCACAAGTGTGCTTCGCTAACTTTGCGAAATGTGACCAAATACCGCGTATCATATTCAACCGATGGATGCAGGAATAATTCGGACATTCAAGGCATACTACAATAGATCGCTTGTTAGACATTACCTCACCTGTGCTGAGGAAGGACGTGATCAGATACGTCGGATCAACATGCGGATGTCACTCGGTAAAATTATTGATGTGATGAATTCAATAAGCTTTACATTAAATGCTTATTTGTTTTATCCAGATTCGTGTCGTTTTTGTAATAGTAAGGGAAGCAACTTGGGTCTTGATTCAGTAGTCCGGACTATTCGCAATCCGGACGAATTTGCTGAGAAACGCAACCGTCCGGATTAACGAGGCTTCACTGTATAATGTTTAACCTCGACTCAAAACTCAAAAGATACTCTCCTATCCTAAAAACGAAACCATGCTTCATATCAAGTCCAAGAAAAATTCTCTTTTTTATGCACTGGCGAATCTTTGTGAAAAATGACATCTAGAATTTCTAGAACTACCGGACACGATTTGGATGCTTCATGTTCGTTCAGAGCTTGATACTCACACAAATTAAGTTTTAATGCAAACAGCTCACTGCAAGTCAACGTCTCCTCGGATTGACGCTCCACCTCGTCCGTCCACCTCCCCGTCCACGTCGCCGCGCAAGTCACCGTCCACCTGTCCGTCCACTTCACCGCATGTCTATGTCTCAGTCCACCTCACCGTCCACCTCTCTGTCTGTCTATGTCTCAGTTCACCTCACTGTCCCCCTCACCATCCACTTCACCGTCTGTCTATGTCTTCGTCCACTTCACCATCCACTTCACCGTCCACCTCTCCGTCCACCTCAACATCCACTTCACCGTCTGTCTGTGTCTCAGTTCACCACTCCGTCCACTTCACCGTCTGTCTATGTCTCCGTCCACCTCACCGTCCACTTCACCGTCTGTCTATGTCTCCGTCCACCTCACCATCCACTTCACCGTCTGTCTATGTCTCCGTCAACCTCACCATCCACTTCACCGTCTGTCTGTGTCTCCGTCCACCTCACCATCCACTTCACCGTCTGTCTGTGTCTCCGTCCACCTCACCATCCACTTCACCGTCTGTCTATGTCTAAGTTCACCTCACTTTCCATCTCACCATCCACGTCACCATCTGTCTATGTCTCCGTCCACCTCACCATCCACTTCACCGTCTGTCTGTGTCTCCGTCCACTCCTCACCATCCACTTCACCGTCTGTCTGTGTCCACCTCATCCATGTCTCATTGTCCCGTCCACCTCACCATCCACTTCACCGTCTATCTATATCTCAGTTCACCTCATCATCCACGTCACCGTCTGTCATTGTCTCCGTCCACCTCACCATCCACTTCACCGTCTATCTATGTCTCCGTCCACCTCACCATCCACGTCACCGTCTGTCTATGTCTCCGTCCACCTCACCATCCACTTCACCGTCTGTCTCATTTCACCACTCCGTCCACCTCACCATCCACTTCACCGTCTGTCTATGTCTCCATCCACCTCACCATCCACTTCACCGTCTATGTCTCAGTTCACCTCACCATCCACTTCACCGTCTGTCTATGTCTCCGTCCACCTCACCATCCACTTCACCGTCCACCACTCCGTCCACCTCACCATCCACTTCACTTCTGTCTATGTCTCAGTTCACCTCACTGTCCAACTCACCATCCACTTCACCGTCTGTCTATGTCTCCGTCCACCTCACCGTCTGTCTACGTCTCCGTCCACCTCACTGTCCACCTCACCATCCACTCCACCGTCTGTCTATGTCTCCGTCCACCTCACCATCCACTTCACCGTCTGTCTATGTCTCCGTTCACTGTCCACCATCCACTTCCGTCTGTCCATGTCTCAGTTCACCTCACTGTCCACCTCACCATCCACTTCACCGTCTGTCTATGTCTCCGTCCACCTCACCATCCACTTCACCGTCTGTCTATGTCTCCGTCCACCTCACCATCCACTTCACCGTCTGTCTATGTCTCCGTCCACCTCTACCATCCACATTCACGTCTGTTTATGTCTCCGTCCACTCCTCACCATCCACCTCACCGTCTGTCTATGTCTCCGTCTCCGTCCACCTCACTGTCCACCTCACCGTCTGTCTATGTCTCCGTCCACCTCACTGTCCACCTCACCGTCCATCTCAGCGTCTGTCTATGTCTCCAGTTCACCTCACTGTCCATCTCACCATCCACTTCACCGTCTGTCTATGTCTCCGTCCACCTCACCGTCCACCTCACCGCCTGTCTGTGCCTCCGTTCCACTCTCACTGTCCACCTCACCGTCTGTCTATGTCTCCAGTTCACCTCACCGCCTGTCCATGTCTCCCGTCCACCCTCACTGTCCACCTCACCATCCACTTCACCGTCTGTCATGCCTCCGTCCACCTCTCTCCATCCACTTCACCGTCTGTCTATGTCTCCGTCCACCTCACTGTCCAACTCACCATCCACTTCACCGTCTGTCTATATCTCCGTCCACCTCCACTGCCTGCTGTCTATGTTCCCCATCCACCTCACTGTCCACCTCATACCATCCACTTCTGTCGTCTGTCTATGTCTCTGTCCACTCTCACTCTCCACTCACCACCGTCTGTCTATGTCTCCGTCCACCTCACTGTCCACCTCTACCATCCACTTCACTGTCTGTCTATGTCTCCGTCCACCTCACCGTCCACCTCACATCTGTCTATGTCTCCGTCCACCTCACCACCACCACTTCACCGTCCACCTCTCCTGTCCACCTCACCATCCACTTCACTTCTGTCTGTATGTGTCTCAGTTCACCTCACTGTCCAACTCACCATCCACTCTTCACTGTCTGTCTATGTTCCCCGTCCACCTCACCGTCTGTCTCATGTCTCCCCGTCCACCTCACTGTCCACCTCACCATCAACTCCACCGTCTGTCTATGTCTCCGTCCACCTCACCATCCACTTCACCGTCTGTCTATGTCTCCGTTCACCTCACCATCCACTTCACGTCTGTCTATGTCTCAGTTCACCTCACTGTCCACCTCACCATCCACTTCACCGTCTGTCTATGTCTCCGTCCACCTCACCGTCCACTTCACCGTCTGTCTATGTCTCCGTCCACCTCACCGTCCACTTCACCGTCTGTCTATGTCTCCGTCCACCTCACCATCCACTTCACGTCTGTTTATGTCTCCGTCCACCTCACCATCCACCTCACCGTCTGTCTATGTCTCCGTTCACCTCACTGTCCACCTCACCGTCTGTCTATGTCTCCGTCTACCTCACTGTCCACCTCACCCGTCCACCTCACTCGTCTGTCCATGTCTCCGTCCGTCCACCTCACCGTCCACCTCACCGCCTGTCTGTGCCTCCACCTTACCCTCACTGTCCACCTCACCGTCTGTCTATGTCCAGTTTACCTCACCGCCTGTCTATGTCTCCCCCGTCCACCTCACTGTCCACCTCACCATCCACTTCACCGTCTGTCTATGCCTCCGTCCACCTCACCATCCACTTCACCGTCTGTCTATGTCTCCGTCCACCTCACCGTCCACCTCTCACCATCCACTTCACACGTCTGTCTATGTCTCCGTCCACCTCACCGCCTGTCACCTATGTCTCCGTCCACCTCACCGTCCACCTCACCATCCACTTCACCGTCCGTCTGTCTATGTCTCCGTCCACCTCACCCTCCACCTCACCGTCTGTCTATGTCCACCTCTCCGTCCACCTCACTGTCCACCTCACCGTCTGTCTATGTCTCCGTCTACCTCTCTGTCCACCTCACCGTCCACCTCAGCGTCTGTCTATGTCTCAGTTCACCTCACTGTCCACCTCACCGTCTGTCTATGTCTCCGTCCACCTCACTGTCCACGTCCTCCAGAAACGAAGCTGCTACTCATTGTATTGTCATTCGAAGCACACTGTCATCTCTTCAGAAACACTATCTACAGAAAGCAAGAACTCATGACTTGCCGTCCACCTGATATGAAGAATCAAAGTTGGTAAAAACTGTCACTTTGTAGCTAAGGCTATATTTCTTAGTTCAAACCCATAAGTATTGAAGGAGCACAACATCCGGCATGGCTTAATGCCCAACTGTTCCACATCACCATCCATGTCACCGCCCACGTCACGGCTCACGTCGCCGCCCACCTCACCGTCACCGCTCACTTCACCGTCCACGTCGCTGCCCACCTCACCGTCACCGTCCACGTCGTCGTCCACATCCAGTTCCACCATCACTCTCCACGTTGCTGTCAACTGCACCGTCCACATCACCCTTCATGACACCGTCCACGCCACCGTCTTATTGTGTTTCCACGTCAACGTCCACGTCGCTTTCCACTTCAGTATCCACCTCACCGTCCACGTCACCGTCCACCATGCTGTAGCTTGGTGTAGACAGCATCTGACATTCTCAAGACAAAACTTGGACGGTAACCGTTTACAGTCCAGGTGTCATCTCGTCCTTATAAAACAGTCCCTGTTGTAATTTTATTGCCATCAAGAAATATTATGTATGCAACGACGACTGAGCCGAAACTGCATACAAAATCGTGCTTTGTGTGCATTGACAATGTACACCATTCTGTTGTAATCCTGAATGATCAGATGAAATTAATTTCATTCCCCGCCTAACCAAATCTTTCCTACCGTTATCTGAACAATCTCACCTCGAGGTTCTCTCAATCAAATCATCGCATCCTCTTTTTCATTGTTCACATACAACAATCACATTTTATTGATATAGCCTACCGTATTTACCCAAATTATCATGAAATTGCAAGCTGCGTTTGAAGTTTTAAAAATGTTTACCATATTTACCCATGTAAATGCCACATTCCTAATCAGTCTGCGCGACTTGCCGTCCAACCCCACAAACGGATAACAATTAAGACAGATAAACATCCTCACTGTACTCGCACAAGTAAGCACTACAAGCTTGTCACATGATACATCATCATGTACGCTTTGCTTTGTATCTGTAGCAGTATCTTGTTGTTTTACCGAATCTTTACGGTAGTTGAAATTCTTAGACAATGTAAATATTACCTCCCTGAATAATGCTGGGGAACCGTGTAGGTAGCAGAGAGTGAGTGAGTTTAGTTTACGCCGTGCCGTTTTAGCAATATTCCAGCAATATCACAGCAGGGGACAGTAGAAATGGGCTTCACACATTGTACCCATCTGGGGAATCGAACCCGGGTTCTCGGCATGACGAGCGAAGGCTTTAAGCACTAGGCTACCTTACCGCCCATGTAGGTAGGAGAAGTATCGTAAGTTCCAACGGACCCCAGTATTGTGGCCTAACTTTGGTTGCTAGCTATAGATCTAGAGGTCGTTTTTATAATGTTTTAATTAATAATAATGTAATCAGTGAGTTAGTAGTTATGCCGCCTTTAACAATAGTCCAGCAATAGTAATGCAACACTGCAATATTTCATAATGGCCAGAAACAAGTTTCAAGTATACTCTGTGACAATCCAGTTGTCACGCTGTACTTGGCGATATGGCTGAAATGTGACGTCTACATTTTAACTCACTCACTCAATTATTCCATGCGTTTTCTATTTATTGCCTTGATTCAAATGTTATTCCACCTACTGTTAATACATGTACGTGTTAATCCAGTACATCTTGCAGTACACACACTCTTAGTACCATCTTAACATAGAGCATCCTATTTTCCATCTTTATACTGTACTTGGTTTCGTTGAATTGATAATGTATTCTGAATAGTGTTTTTGTTGTAGTTGATGATGATGATGTTGTTGTTGTAATTATTGTTGTTGTTTTCCGTCATGATTGTCTGTTAATAAAACATATTTAGACGAACTGTATACACGTGATTTCAAGCCAACTGTCAAATGTTATACCAAAGTGTTCGTATTAACGAGGTCTGACTGTACTCGATTGGTTGTTTTGTTTTTAACGGCTTCAGCAATATTCCAGCTATATGACGGTGGTCTGTATATAATCGAGTTTGGACCAGACAATCCAGTGATCAATCATGAGCATCGATTTATGCAGTTTGGATAAGACCACGTGTGTCAATCAAGTCAGCGAGTCTGACCACCCGATCCCGTTAGTCGACAGAGAAAGAGAGGGCGAATTATTCACAATATTACTGGATGTGAGTGAATAGTTAAATTTTACAATCACATCGGCAATATTTCAGCCATATCGTGACTAAAGCAAGTTTCAAATTGACCAATAATACATGTAAATTATAACAAAACTGTCAGCGAAGGACAGTAAAACCAAATAGAATATCACACTATTAAAAATATAACTAGTATATCTCTCTAACATTGGACTTCAAATTAGGACAAGACAGTATATAAATGGGCTATAGATCGCCAATAACCAAAGGTAGATCACCATCCCACGTGAGATATAGTCACGACAAAACCCATTCGAGAAATGAATACTATTCCTTGAAAAACATTATACACAAAATAATGCAGGGATTGGGATAGAGAACTTTGACAATGGGCCATTTTGAGGATTATTAGCTATTTTCTGATTTTAGAATGGGCCACTGCCCTTGTATCAATAATAAACATCAAACTTTTAATGGGCCATTTTTATTCTAATGTGCAAAATGGCCCAAGGCCCATGCCTTTCCCAATCCCTGCAATGTCAGGGTCCTGTTCCCCAACCCGAACCACTCTTGTATTCTTGAGATGACTGGATATCTTTGTATTTTCATACTGTGTACATACATAGAATTGTCTTTAGACGTTCATCATTACCGACATGTTGGTCACGTGTTCTCCTGCCGATCATGTGATATGTGTGATCGCGCTGCACCAGAGACCACTGTCAATAACTTTGACCAATATACATAAAGCATAAGTTGTAGATCAATAAAACAAGCGTAACTCCTTCATGAGAAATAAATGCTAGTATTCAGTACACTACGTGATATCAAATTTAACATAGTGCTTAAAAGCATAAGTTGTAGATAGGGCTGGGACGGATACTCGGGTACTCGAATCCGGGTCGGGTACAGCTGGAATCGAGTCCCATTTCAAGGAATCAGAGTACCCGGAAAGGGCCGAGAACTCTGTAATGACAACGGCAGGTAACTCTAATCTAGAGCAATATGGACGACACCCGTGCTAAGTTGAGTGTTTGGGCTCATTTTGAGCTTGATGCAAATAGCTAGAGAACCAAATGCCGACTCTGTGGTATCATGTCTGAAATTGATAGTACAGTCTGCTTATGGTTTTGAGATTTATAAGTGTTAGACCCTGCTTGTGAATTCTGCTGAAGTGGTGAAGGTGTGGGACTTGCGCTACTCCTGGGCTTCATCCCTTATGAAGCTGACACGCCAGGATCAGGATATACTTAATCTTATAATTTAACACAGTTACAAATTTGAAGACCCATACGATTTTTAATCTAATATGTCAATCTACTGCGGAAGCTGTACAAGGTCAATACAAAAACATCTTGCACTAAAACACAACCTAAACAATAAACGTGTTCATTACATTGTGTATTTGTGTTCATTGCTTATCAAGGTTTTAAGATTACATGTACATTGAATTTTGTCTTTAGTTTCTATTTTTTTTTTTTCAATTTCATTAAACACAGCTTTTACATTTGCGTTTAACATGAATACATTGACTATTAAAGAGATTGCAATTAAATGATTGTATGTGTTGGGAATATCAATTAAAACTAAGGAATTAATATTCTGATTTGCAAATACAATGTTCGACTGGTTATCATTACAATAAGAAGAAAAGATGATCAGAAATAGAAGCAGAACTCACGTAACATATACATTTCATAGTTTAACAAATAATAATCAGCATAATCACGTAGTTGTCTACTGGCTGAATGAATAACTGGTCTTTTTCATTATTAACGTAACACACATTTTTGGCATTGTCCAGTTAATGGAGGTTATTATCAACGACGGTAATTTATCTGCGCATGAGCAGTGAGTAGTCAAATCACAGTAACAGCGGGAATGAAAAGTTCTGTGTTTTAACAAATGTTCCGTGCTTAAAGTAACAATGTAAGTAATGGTGTTACTCTTCATATTAGTTATAAACAGACGTAAATCAAATAGCCTAAGATCAGTTTCAATGTCTCATTGCCATCCTTTGAGGTTTTCTGTTATAATATCTGTCAAATCGTGACTGAATATTCAGAAAGTTTACTGAAGCTATGTATTCCTTAAATTTCCGGGTACACGATTCCGATTCGGGTAAGTACATGCGGGTACTCGATTCCAATTTTTCCTACCCGTCCCAGCCCTAGTTGTAGATGAATAAAACAAGCGTAACTCCTTCATGAGAAATAAATGCTAGTATTCAGTGCACTACGTGATATCAAATTTAACATAATGCTTAAAAGCATAAGTTGTAGATGCATTAAACAAGCGTAACTCCTTCATAAGAGATAATGTGTGATCCCATTTCTGGTGTCTCCCCGCCGTGATATTGCTGGAATATTGCTAAAAGCGGCGTAAAACCAAACTCAGTCAGTCAGTCATAAGAGATAAATGCTAGTATTCAGTACACTACGTGATATCAAATTTAACATAATGCATGAACCAATCTATTCAATAGCCAATGACTGGGAAGCTCTATTATCACATCGTATGCACATGAAGTTCAAAAATATATGTGAGCACAAATAGAAGCAAATATTCAAGAATAGTATTTACAATTACATCACAGGCACACATCATTCATCTTGCTTATCTGTATTTATTATGTGAGTGGGTTCACGGCGCTATCCAAAACCAACTCCATTTCCTTGCTGGACAGTGAAAGAAGAACACGTGGCGCAAGAGTAATGGTAAGTTTTCCCTCGCATTTTTATTATTTTGCAAGTGGATCAGGTTTTGCCATTTGGCAGACGGGTCTACAAATTTATAGATCTTTCTGTAATTTAGCTTGACACCTCTCTTTTATTGCAGCTGCGCGTTAAGCGAGGGCACCCGTCTGAGTGTCGAAGCAAGATTGCGGAAAATGATCGTTTCAACACGAAATGTGACAACCTCATCAGCAGACACGCCTTTTCCGCTGTCAGTACTTAGATATAGTTATTTTAGGTCTTCATGCACAGTTTAGACTTAATGCGTCAGTAATGTTTTAATTATCGGCATTATGTCAACGCAACCGAGTCTGCACATTACTGAGTTGTGCTTAATAACCTGCGACGCAAACGCCTCCAACCCTTTAATCAGGCTGAATTTGTCTCTCAGGTGAAATTTCTCTCCACAATATACATTGGGATACAATAAATATGTGCCAACTAAGTGAGCGAGTCTAACCACCTGACCCACGTTAGTCGCCTCTCACGACAAGCATGGGTTACTGAAAACCAGTTGCCTCTCCCGCTCCAGTTAAATCAGGTCAAGTTCTCTCTCGCCGTATGAATAAAATGTGTATGGACAAGTCCGGGCATTAGGGAAACCGAGTTACCTCCCTTATTCTGCTTCTCGAAAGTGTATTGTCAACTGTCAACATCGAAAGTGAAACAACAGTTGTACTCACCGAGTTGCCGAGTTCTCTGGCGTCTTGTCTCCTGTGTTACTACAGTTACAATATTACAAACCATATTATTACAATGGCTGCAGACAGATATGTCCAGCGGAAAGTAAGGTAAGAATCGCTATTCGGGAGCCTGGAATCAGTACAGTTACGTGCAGAATGACGTAATGACCAGTACGTTTTAGAATAAGCTAATGATACTCCTATTGCGCTTCAATACGATCCGTTTTTACATCTTGCAAGACAATCTTCCAGAAAAAGAAGAATCAAGCGAAACGGAGGCACCCGTTGAGGTCAAAATAGAAATAGACCATATCATTTTAACAAGAATACTATTTGTCAGCAAAATGTGATAACAGCTCCAACAAGCAAACCCACCCCTGTAAATATATGACTGTAGGGTGTCTGGGATTTAAAAACAAAATAATTATGCTTCAGACTTCGGAAAATAGAAATTATCTGCTACAAAAAATTACACTGGAATTATTTTGTTGAAAAAAATTAGTGAGTGAGTGTCCTCCAAACTTGGGAGATTTGCATTAATAACGTATCAAGCGGTCGAGCAGAGATAATATTCGCGACGCGGATAAGTTATTCCACGAAAACTGTTGAATTATAAAATACTAGTCAGGACAATGTATGTTTCCCCAGTGTTTGGTTATGGAAATAGTTATGGTACTCAGCCATAGCCTTAGAATGACATCTTGTCAGCCAATGTGAACACAGAACAACTTTCACGGCACACACTACTGACAAATAGCGAGTGTGATGTCGACGCGAGTAACTGAACAAAATGGAAAACACTGAAAGCAACAAGTACGTCATGATTTGCCGTTGTATTCGGCAATGTTTCGGTTAGACTGCAGCATTTAGGGCTCCAAACCGAAAAGAACGTTATAGCGAAACTTGTTTAAGCTCATGTGAAATCTCCTCACTAGTTTTGATAATATTCATCTCATTGGTACCAGTCGAACTGCCCCAGCTACAAAATGCCCCATCAAATTTGGTCACTCATTCTATCTTTGGTCAAATTTATTTAAAATGATTAAATATATGCCGTTTATGCATAGTTTTGGTCAACTTTGATATTATGTTCTTCATATAAAAGTTGTTAGGAAGTAATATTTCTGATAATTGTTCCATTAGTAAACTCATAACTAAGAACATAATATCAAAGTTGACAAAACTATGCATTTTTGGCCTATATTTAATCATTTTAAATAAATTGGGGCATTTTGACTACCATCCTGTGGCAATTTGACCAAATTTGCTGGGGCAATTTGTAGTGGGGGCAATTCGACTGGCAACCGGACCACTGACAGTAATTTGTAACAGGGAATGATGGAGTATAAATGAATCTGGTTGGTACTTCTTCCTTCTTCTTTGAGATTTTCATACCACATGTGTGCATGTCTCTTTCATATGCGCCCGACTAGGAATGATCGGAGCATTTCTCCTGCCTAAATCTGTCTCTTTACTTGGAAAACGAAAAGAAATGGTGGCTCTTTCCATTGTTCGATGATTCAGTGCATCCCTAGGCCATTTACAAAAACGACAGAAACAACACGATTTGTATTACTGTAGCGCTTGTTCTTAGACAATATAGCGGACGCTTGTCACATATGACGTCACGAGCGGAAAGGTCACGTGAGTTCAAGCGGATTATGCATAATGACCGAAGCTCGGATAACAGAAAACTGTTTTGCGATAAAAGCAAAATGAACCATATTTTTAAATAAAAATTTGGGTACATGTTTCTGATGACTTTATCTTTATTGCAATTGTCTACTATTCTCCTTTAAGCACTTTAGCTTTGTCTTAGATAATAGTGGTTTCAAGAAACAGGGAATTTTCCACAGAATTCAAATATATTTGTGTGCGTGATATTTAGAATTTTATTGGAAGAGGAAGGACAAATCTGTCCCTCTGGCACCCAGGGGTAACAGCGATGGTAGTTCTTTTCTTATCGCTTGTATAATTATAAACTGTTCTCGTCACGATATGGCTGAAATATTGCCGATGTGACGATAAATATTAACTCACTCACTCACTTATCGCTTGTTCGAATCCGTCATATTTATATTTTATTTTTATCTTGTGAGAGAATCCAAAATAATTCATTGATTGATATTTTTACCATAAGATAACTTGTACTTCAATTAAAAACATAAGGTTTGCATTGTTATTCAAACTTTTGAAATAGTTTGTGAACAAGAAGCTAAGTAGGTGCCCGTTCGGTCTCGCTTTATGTGTTGCTATGCATCAAAGTACCTCTTATACCAATGTACGACATGGATTTAGGACCTCATCGGACTCCAGTGTTCATTCTAGGCCGCGCCCTTGCGCCATCCGCACACTGAAAGTTCATATGGCGCACTTTAAAATACTGGCAGGCCGTGCTGGCGCATTCGAGATATTAAACATAAATCTCAAATGCATTACGAGTTCGTTTTCAAGCGTCAACTCAAACAAAATTCAAAACGCAGGCTTAGTGTTACAAAATGCGCTACCTTCTCTCATTGAAGCAAGCTGTTATTGTTTTGAATGCCAAGAACTCTGCACATCACTTTCAAGCTGTTTCAAACGAACATTGCGAAGCCTACAAATCGGTGTTATGAGAAAATCTGATGCGCTTTGTAAAACAGATTCTGATTGGTCGGTTTCTTTGGTCGTGATCCAATCACGTTGCATGTAGCAGTTTTATAATGTTGTTGCCATGAGGGACACACCGGCAGTCAAACGCCGATGTCAAAACGAAAATTCATTATTTTTGGGCGAAAAAGCAAAACCTTGTCACGATGACGACTGACTGAGTTTGGTTTTACGCTGCTTTTAGCAATATTCCAGCAACATCACGGCGGGGACACTACAAATGGGCTTCACACATTGTGCCCATGTGGGGATTCGAACCCGGGTCTTGTCACGATGACGATACAGAGAGCACAACCAACCACGACGATGATAACCGAAAAAGAGGATTGGTCTGAGGAGAAACGCCAGGACTATGTATCACGTCCACGTGTTTTCAAAATACGTGGTTGCAGCTTTACCCATAGGTATCGTTCGACAAAGAAGCAAATCGCATGCGATGTACGGTGTGTATTACCCATCACAAAAAATAATGTGTTTACAGGGAATGGCACAGACAATTATTGGACCAGTAAGTGAACTCAAATTAGTAACTAATTAGTACTGTATGTCTAACAAGTCACAGCAATTTGACATGGCCCACACTATTTTCTGAATGGCCCACTTAACTGAGCGCTGGTGGGTCATGGGCCGACTTTTTATTAAGGCTAGAATAAACATTATTATGACATGGATACGTCGTCTTTGTGAAACTGTCGTAAAAGAAGGTCGGAAGAGGGTCGTAAACAATGTCGTAAAGGGCTACGATATCCTAAATTTAGGAGGCTCTTTGTGAAACGCTGGCCTGGTTACCTATTACTGTCAAGCTAATTTAATATGACTATAATTTTTGCTGACACACATCTCTGTACATTATGAAAAGTTATCTTTAAAGTGAGATAAATATTATGTAGGAGTAGTATTTCAAAACGTGAAGCAAAAGTATTGTAGATCTCCTTTGATATATACCATTATTGTAACTACATGTATTCAATGTGTATGACGGTTTGCTTGCTTTTTAAGTTGGGGCTATGACATTTTCTGTTTGCAAATAATAATGTAATGAATGAATAAATGTGTTTTTAAAAAACATGTAAACTTTGTACTACAACATAGTATATAATGTAGATTTGGTTTCGTGGTTGTATGGCCGAAATAAATCTGATGCGGTAAAACTCAACTCAACTCAGCTCAACTCAACTCAACTCGACTGAACATGGTAGGGTGATCTTCATATACCTTCAGCTGCTGGCTGTCTGTAGCCTGTTTCTAGTTTGTATTATTTTCTACAGTAATACTATAAGTTGTTCACTGGTCTCGAGGAGGACATGGGCTGATGTACCCTGATGTACCCCAAAGTGCGAGTGGAACATAAAGAAACATCGAGGGTACATCAACCCATGGACACCGAGGGACCAGTGAACAACGTTTTTATCTTACCGAACACCTCAATGGTAATTTAGAACTGTTTGAAGCACGGGTATCGGATCATAGTATGGAGTACCAGACGACAAGAAAAGCAAATTTTGAGTTATCTCTCTTCCATCGATTTGCATTCACAAAACATCGGTAATTTCCGTATGTCAAACGTGATTCAATGTTATTCGAGATAAAGAATTATTACTCGAAGTACCAAATGAGGTCGGCATTCCCAGCGGGGTACATAGAAAAGCACAGATTGATCTGTAACCCATTGGTGCTTCTACGGGCTAGGATACACATGTGATTATTTTTGTAATAATCGCACATGTGCTCTTCAGTGATTCTCAACGTTGATTGGTCAGCTGAGCAGAGAAGAAATATGATTGGTTGACGGAACTACTTTTCATGATCAAAGTTCACTGACAACTTTAACCGTTTCATTGATAATTAGAGTGACTGACTGAGTGTGGTTTTACGCCGCTTTTAGCAATATTCCAGCAATATCACGGCGGGGACACCAGAAATGGGCTTCACTTATTTTACCCATGTGGGGATTCGAACCCGGGTCTTCGGCTTTACGAGACTACCCCACCGCACCCATTGATAATTAGAACGTGCTGTACTCACACATTCCGAGATTAAAACAAGAATACATAACGGTTAAAGAATATGAATACTCTTTAGTGCATGATGGATGTACTGTTGGTGTATTTGGTTATGCACCACTGCAAGAAACGGCTAAATGTTTCAAACAAGGAGCATGATATAGAACAGCCGAAAGGGACATTTGTCAAAATATAAATTTCCGTGAAAGTACATACCTTACAGGTGGAAATCCTCCGGACGCACTGGGAGCAAACGGAAGGCTGACTTAACATCGAAGTTTGCTAATTGAGCGCCCTTGCCTAAACGCTGAACTAAACTTACCGCCTCATCGAACCGTGTGTACTCGAACAGAGCAAAATTCCGTGGAAATTCCATCGTTGACGGACGATCCCGGGGATGGAGAGATGGTGTTTGAGACGGTAGCTATCCGCGATTGTGGAGACATTTAATGTGTCAGATATTTTTTGACAAAACCAACGGAGATACCTTGAGGTTTTGAATCGGGCGTGAGGGCAAAGGCCCGGCAATGCGACCAAGAGAGATTTCTTTCTGTAGCTTCACTGTAAATAAAACGTTGTCAATTTGACAATTTTAGCTTTGTCATTATTGCTCTGACAATTATGAATTGTCAGTTTGAACACTGAGAGTTGTCAGTATGACAACCCACGTTGTTATTGTGACAATACTGAGAGTCTTATACTGATTGCTTTAAAACAATCATTTATTAGATATGATATTTAGATAGTGTTGACGATCATGTTTATAGTTTAACCACGCGTTTTACATAAGATATGCGGTGACAATATTATATTGTCATATCGCGAGTTTTATCAAATTTTGACAATACAAGGTTGTCAAACTTGACGGATTGATGTCCTTCACAGTGAAGGTCACAGTAAACGAGGTGCAACAGTCAGGAACGTCAAAGGAACTGGAAAAGTTGTTATAGTAAGTATATGCAAAACACTTTTACCATTTCCTTTCATTAGATAACTACTGAGTACGAATACAGTGTTTTTGATTCTCGCACTGTCCATATTAACGGAAAATCATGAAGAAATATTTCAACTGGACACCACACAAATTTGTGCACACATTCCGAATAATAACTGGCCATATAGCGTTAGATACAACATAAATCTATATCGAGTAATAACATTTAGTACTTACGTGTGCTTGAGAATGTCAAAATGTTCAGTTTAATCGCATGAATTTTTCTATTCCATTGTCTTCAGGAACCCGGTTGAAATTTGACAACCTTCGTTGTCGCATCGACGACATATTGACAATATATTAGAGTTACCTCCCCTAGCTCAGGTCATACAATTATAGTTACGTCCCTCATGTGTATAGTGCATATCCAATTGTGTCACCAAAGTGGCCATATAGCATTGGATACAACACAAATATCTATCGACTAATAACATTTAGTACTTACGTGTGCTTGAGAATGTCAAAATGGTCAGTTTAATTGCATAGATTTTCTATTCCATTATTTGCAGGAACCCGCTTTGAACTTGACAAACTTCATTTGTCACATATGATAGAGTTACCTCCCCTAGCTCAGGTCATACAATTATAGTTAACGTCCATTCAACCCCCAATCTCATTTAATCACATTTTTTTTATTTTCAACAACACAACCAACACAATACATGCATGCAAAACATTTAACATCACTTTTGTCGTTAACACTTCAAATCCAAGGCCTATCCGGTGTGAATAAACGTTTAATAATTACACAAAACTTCACTTGGAAATTGGCAAATCAAGTACCAGAAAATTAAAGTACGGATTGACATTTTTAAATGTAATGAAAATAGAATAATTCAGGACTGTTTTAAAAGATGAATGAAAACTACGTGAGTGTTTATTCATGTGTCACTTGTACATTTGTATTAAGGCATTTTACAGACCTACTTTCCCACTATTCAATTCATTCACATGACCCAAGTTTTCAACTGACTTGTGGTATAAATGCGTGCCAGGCGACCTTTAAAAGTAACCGAGTTTTGAAGAGGCACATAAAATCAAAACACAACGTCTTTTATAGGAACAATCTATTCAATAAGCTACAAGGAGATTTGGATGATATTGAGCATGAAATACATTTGAATCTCAGAAATGATGCGAATGAGTCGGATCACAACAATCAGACCATTCAAACACAAGATCTAAAGCAATATGTTGCATTGCAATAACTGCATCTACGTGAAACAAGCAGACTGCAACACTCAGCCTGTCCATTGATTCTTGAATTAGTAGGGAATATACTAGATTGGTTGAGCGAAAGAACATTGACTGAAGTAAACAAGATATTGACAGCTGCACATTGCAATGATTTGTTGTTAAATGAGATGGAACGAACTGTTCTTGGTGAAAAGCAATTGGTGGAAAGGATACTTAGTCAAGTAAGTGATGAATATAACTTCAATTCCTATATCAGGTTTCTTTTGGGAAACCGGTAGAGCACGTAGTTGGTAATTTACCCGACGGAACACCCGATGTTGTTCAGTACATCCCTCTTTTAGAAACAATCAAGTCTCTCCTAGAACATGAAGATGTGTTTTCTCAGGTTATGAGCCAACAACAGTCTCAGGATGGGAAAATGCGTGACCTATGTGACGGTTCAAGATTTAAACAAAATCAGTTATTTGGCAGAATACAAAAGAGCAATTCAGATCATGTTGTATTATGATGAGTTTACAGGTGTAAACCCCATTGGTCCTAAAAGCAAAACACTACAAGTATGGCGCATTCTATTTTGTCATAGAAAATTTGGGTCCAAACACAGGTCCAAACTACACGTTATGCAGTTAGCATTGCTTGCTCGCTCTAAATCAATCAAAACAAATGGACTGTTCAAAGTCATGCAGCCCCTCATACGTGATGTAATGACCTTGGAAACTGAAGGCGTTGTGATAGAAAGAAGTGAAGGTGAATTTCAATTCCATGGTTCAATTGCTTTAATTATTTGCTGATAATCTTGGAGCGCACAGCCTCGGTGGATTCATGGAACCTTTTCGGTCTTCAGAAATTGTCGGTCTCTGTATGATCACAAAGGGATGAGATGCTGGTAAGCACTGATGCCAAGGGCTGCGCCTGAGCGTACAATTGCAGGTCACAAAGTTAATGTGATCACTGATGCTGGAGGTTTAGCGAACACATACGGTGTAAAGTCTGACAATTCCCCTATGGTTCTAATGACAAGTCAAACGAGCCAACTATCTTGGCAGCACAGTTATGTAAACTCAAAGTGAAACAGAATTGGATGCAGATTTGGTGCCTACTGCGGTTGTTTCCCCTGTTGGTCGGTTTTGCTGTAGAAGAAGAAGGAGACCCAAAGTGGGAGGTTTGTTTGCCCTCATGGATATGGTGGAAAACATATGCGCCCCCATCACTAGCGACGGATACTGTGCATTTATGAATGATTGCAATCATATATTTGTCAATTTGTATACAAAGAGTTCCTGAAGCACGATTTCAAACCCAAGTTTCACTACGTCCTTCACACACATTTGGCCCCTCATAAACGTTTGGACAATGAGGTTCGAGGGCAAGCACAATTTCAAAGAAATTGTACACAGAGTCAAAAACAGAAAAATCTGTGCAAGACCATGGCTTTCCGACATCAGTACCACCAGTGCTTGTGGGCTGAGTCGAAGTCATTCCCTGTCCAGACCATGGGGAGTATGAGGCATCACCAGAGGCGGCACCATACAGCTTGCAGTCTTAGATGATGACCAAATACAGGATCTCTTGCATTGCCTTACGTTCATGGAGCTACTGATGTTTTTCAATGTCAGTCGAAGTACGGGTAAACGGACACATGTATGCTCCTGTCTGTGTCATGTGTGTCTCTTTTGAAGATGGACAGGAAATACAGTTTGGGAAGTTTGAATGTTGTTTCATGCATGGCAAGCCTTACTTGTTGTTGCCAAAAATGGACAATTAGATTTTCACACCAATATCACTCTTACGAAGTTCAGATCATCAAAACAGTACATGTGTCGTCTTAAGACATAGAATTGTGACATGAGTCTCTTGATCAACCAAAATGAATCTTGCTGCTTGGAAATGCCTTGGATGGGTTATCACATATTTATCTGTATATTTTGGAAAGCTTGGAAGTGTTACAATATTAGTTCAACCCAGCGTTGTGATATCTAGATACATACAAAGGAGTTAATGCGTACATATGTGCATCCATAAACAATAACATATTATTGTTGGATACAGGTACGAATGCATGCATGCTTTTTCAAATGTATTATGGAACACCATATGTATAAACACACACACATTTCTCCTCTACACACTTTTTCTGTTTATGTAATTCCAATAATAATAGGGTTACCTATTTCTGCATCACGAACTATGAAGGATCTTTTTAGTACTGTCAGCTCTCATTTTAATTATTGCATTTTTAAAAATTAGATTTGTTAAACGATTTGTAAATAGATGTAAATATTTTACCATTGGAAGTTTGAATTAGTAACTTAGATTGTTATTGGCTGTATCCTCAAGGGGGTTAAAAGTACTGTAAAATTATTGTCCTCCTGAGAGGGTACATGTAAGTCCCCAAAGCATTTGAAGTAAAATTCACAATCTTCCACTTTTTTTAATCGTAGGATTCTTGTCATTTTAATGTGTGGCTTAATTTGCTTACAATCGCCAGCAGTTGAAGGGATGGTGTGAATCCAACTAGGGTCCATGCAGGTAGCTAAGGTACTGTAAGTCCCCATGGTCCCTAGTTTGGTGATCTACCTTCAGTTGTTGGCGATCTCTAGCCATTTTAATATTGTATTATCCAAATAGATGCTATTAGTTTTAACTTTCTAAGCTAGTTTTAATTCAAATTGTGATATTCTAGTTGTTTTACTGTCCTTCGTCGGCCGGTTTTTCATAATATCTATATTCTATTTCAATGTCAAATGTTCTCGTCACGATATGGCTGGAAATATTGCCGATGTGACGTTAAATAATAACTCACTCACTCACTCACACTCCAATAATGGATATAATAATACAACCGTTTTGTTTTATTTATTGTAGATGGCAGAGGTTGACTTCCACATCACAAATGTGAAACCAAATTGGAAACAATCAAAATCAATTATCTCATTTACGCTGGATCAAGCCAGAGAATGCTATCTCTCAACACTTTAGATATTCCACTCGGGTTTCAGACCCAACCATATTCGGATAAGCATTATTCTGATTGGGTAGACATTTCCTTAAATGATCCAAAAATTGCAAGGGAGGTAAGCTAAAGGAGATGAGTACTCGGAAAGCAGTTGATGTCAGCGAGAGAGGTGACAACCATCCGTGTACGACAGCTGGCCTACAAGAGGTTCCAACCGTTATGAACGAGACACCAGCGACCTGTACGAACAAGATATCTGTGATTAATAT